AGCTTGGTTTTTGGCATTGATTCAGTGGCTGGGACCTTTGACTAATTTCAAAACTGAAGACAAATTTGTTGGTTATTTGTCTGGTATCAGGAAATATTAGTAAATATCGGGATATCGGGGTGGTTGGGGATATATAGCTGATAAGAGGGAAGAAATAGGCATCCCCCCTCTCTTATCTGAATCAACACCTAAAAAAAAGGGGTATATCAGCTGATATTTTCATCCTTGGATGGAACTATAGTCCGATAGTTGTGTTTTCAGTGGTGTGGACGAAAAATGAAATAGAAGAATACTCGAAAAGTATGCTGGTGAGGTTGTGGTGATTTTGTGAGATAAAATTCAATTTTGGACCTCTCTATAGGATTCAGTTTCTTTTATGTTTTGGGATGTACCATTGTACTATATATATATGCGAACTGGAAGGATGTTGGCAGTTAAGATTCTGTTTATCTTAGATTCAATGTAATGCAGTTTTGTTGTATGTGTCCTGGTTGAGAGTGTCAGTATTTTTATTCAGTGGTTGATAGTGTATGTTTCCTGGCTGATAGTGTTTGTTCAAAGTATTTTTATCTTAGATTCAATTCAACAGCATTGCCACAGAATCCTAAAATTTTGAGTATCAAATGACAAACAGAAGTTCATGATGAAAATATATGCACATTAAATATGCACACATACATAAATAAATATGAAGGTTAGTACAATAGACCCTACAAAAGAACATAGATTGCTGAGTACTTGAAGAAGTTACAACTACAAGTTATAAAAAGAAAGTCCCATCACCTGGTTCAAGAAGTTCATCGACTCTTTCACCACTTCCCGGAATCGATCATCATCAAACCACCCAAACTTGGTGAGTCGACATAAGAGTTGGATTAAGGACGCAGTCACAAATGGCTGCAACTCAGGTCCTCTAGTGGCCAAATAGTTAATAAGGTAACTCCCTACACAAATTTCCACATTGTTCAATTTCATACATTGAAGGTAAGATGCAAACAAGAAGAAGACCAGCAAACAGATATATGTCAGGGAGATTACGAATATCAAGACGAAGCTGCAGAGCAAGGCTATGGTCAGTGACTTGCTTCAACAAACTAGAACTAGCTAGCATCAACGCGTACGGAGTCACGGCATTGTCCAGAATGTATTGGCACTGTGAAATGTATTCGATGTTCACAGAAAAGCATTTGAGAGTGTTCTCAGCGTGGGCTCGTTCAACAGAGTCCTGCGAATTGTATAGCCTCTCACACAAAGCCTCCAGTTGCCGTAACCCTTCCATCGCTTCAAAAATCCTATCATCAACGTCAGGTTCAGATTCTCAGCACAAGAAATTAAAAAAAGTAATCAAAACACATACACAAAATAGTAGCAGCATCTACTTTAGCCCAATATCAGTTTCCAAGAGATGAACAGTTCAAATGCC